CAAGATGGCGGCGGCGGAAGCGGCGGACCGGAAGCGGCCGGGCCGGCCATGAAGCCGTGGCGGGGAGCGCGGCGGGCGGCTCTGGGCCTGGCGGTGCTGCTGCTCGTCGCGCCGCCCGCGCGGGCCGTGGAACCCATCAGCCTGGGCTTGGCGATCGCCGGGGCCGCCGCCTCGGCCCTAACCGGCATCATCTCCTACCCGCGGCTCTACTGCTACTTCAAGGAGTGCTGCCTCCAGCGGCACGAGCAGCGCGTCGCCGCCGGTACGGGCCGGGCCGGGGGAGCGGGGAGGGGCTGGGCGGCCCCTCGGTTCTGGGCCGGGATGGGGCCGGCGGTTCTGCCCGCCGCTAACGGCTCGGTGTGCTGCGCAGCGCTGCAGGAGAGCCTGGACAGAAGGCTGTTCGGGCAGCACCTGGTCAGCAGGGTGGTGGTCAGGGCCGTGCGGGGATTCCTCGGCAACGCCCAGGCCAAGAAGCCGCTGGCGCTGTCATTGCACGGCTGGACGGGCACCGGCAAGAACTTCGTCAGCAAAATCATCGCCGAGAGCATCTATAAGAGGGGGCTGAAGAGTAACTACGTCCATCAGTTCGTGGCTACGCTGCATTTCCCTCACGCTCACAGCATCAACCTCTACAAGGTAGAAATGGGGGGTGGTGGCACTGCTGGGGTGGGCTGCAACATCTTTAAGGTTGGAAATGGCCTCGAAGATCTTGAGAGGATTTTATAATGCAGCAGAGCATTGGTTTGTGTGCTGTGTTTTAAGAAGGACTCATCGTTGTCTTTTTACTTTGTGAGTGGCTCGAAGTAAGGACTGAGGGCTGGATTCTGCTTCTGCCTGTTCCAATGACTGCAGGTGGGGTTTCACAGTGAGTCGGTGTAGTTTTGATGCATGGGGGATGCTTGGACCAAAGCGCTGCCAGCAGCACTCAGTTTGCCTCACAAGGCTCTGCTCTGTGTTGCTGCTCCTCCTGGTACCCATCCTTTGTCCTGATATTCAGCCTTTCCTTTTTGATATGGTTTCAGGAATAGCTTTCTCTTGAGATTTCATGCATGTCTCATCCTCTCTCTGGGTATCTTCATTTTTCAGAACCGTTTTATTTTCAGCTTTTAGTCGTGTTTCAGTCAAGAAGCCAAGCTATCACAATAATGCAATTGAAAGGAGTGCAAAACTCAGGAAGCAGAATTCCTGTTTTCTGTCTTTTCAACACAAACTTTTTCATCTGCTCCTGTTTCCATGCCACTCAGGACCAATTGCAGTCATGGATTCGGGGAAATGTGAGCATCTGTCCCAGGTCAATTTTCATATTTGATGAAATGGATAAAATGCACGCAGGACTCATTGATGCCATCAAGCCATTTCTGGACTATTATGAGCTTCTGGATGGAGTGTCATACCGACAAGCCATCTTCATATTCCTCAGGTAAGGAGCAACTCCTTGGGTTTGCTGTCCTGTGCACACAGTGCCTTTTAAAACTACCTTCAGTTACAACCTTTGTTTTGTCTTTTCATAGCAATGCGGGAGCTGAAAAGATAACAGAGGTGGCACTCGATTTCTGGAGAAATGGGAAGGCAAGGGAAGATATACAGCTCACAGACATGCAGAACGCACTGTCTGTATCTGTATTCAATAACAGAAATAGTGAGTAAAGCTGGGATCGCTTTTGAGGCTGTCAGAGTCCCATAAAAATGTCAGTCAGCCATCAGTGCACGCACTGTATTTCACAGTAGTGGTTTCTGCTTTATGTGGTCTCCAGTTTTTGGCCTCTGGAGCCACAGTGCAATTTGTGGTCAATGGGACAACTCTTGTGATGAATTAGAGCTAAGCATACCATGTGTACCTTGTTTGATGTGTGTGGGTTACATTTGTTGGGGGAATTGTGTGCTGTGCATTCATTGGTGTACTACTGTGCTAAAGAGAAAGCAAACAAAGGAAATATAAGGCTGGATGTGAGCTCGGGGGGGAAAAAAGGAGCAGAGCAAGCTGGTCTGTGAGAACTGATAACAGAAAAAATCGGATCTTCTCTAGGTGAGAGAGGTGAGCCTGTGAGACCAGTATCTGGGGAGCAGGGCTTAAAAGCAGACATTCAGAAGAGATCCAGCAGACCGTGTTTGTGTGTCTGAGACAATGCAGAAAGTACCATGAGAATAGACTTAATTTTACATTGACTTGTGCTTTGTGGGGCCCTAAAAACACAGATGGATTCTTCCTGGTTTGATGCAGGGGCTACGATATTCATTCCCTGGCAGTGTTTAACAAGAGGAGCAGTGACAAAGGCCTTCTCTTTCCTTTTGTAGGTGGATTTTGGCACAGCACCTTGATTGATAGAAATCTTATTGACTACTTTGTTCCCTTCCTGCCTCTGGAATACAAACATGTGAAAATGTGTGTCAGGGTGGAGATCGAATCCCGTGGCTATGCTGTGGATGAAGACATTTTAAGCAGAGTAGCAGATGAGATGACCTACTTCCCCCGAGAGGAGAGGATTTATTCAGATAAAGGATGCAAAACTGTGGATGCAAAGCTGGATTATTACTATGACTTATAAGGCTTTATTGCTACAACCTGCAAAGGAGCAAATTTAACTTAATCATGAAGTGGAGAACCCGGAACATTTCATTTGTAAGCACTTTTTAAAGGAAGGAACATTGTTTTAACTGGTATGTAAAGAAGCAGCAGCACCTCTGCATTTTTATTCTGTCACTAATCACGATTCCCAGGCACGTCAGCATCGTGCCATCAAGGTAAGGAAGAGCTGCATTGTGAACTGAGGGCTCTGACTGTGCTGAAGACATCTCCCACATGGTGTGGATCAGCAGAACCCCAGGGCAGGCTGTTTGTATGGGTAGTGGGACTGAGGGTATGACCAAATTGTAATTGTTGTTTGGGTTCCTGTGGGTGGCAATATAGAGAATCATGACTGAAGTCCCTGTTTGTTGAACCCTTCAGTGGGCTCGTGAAGGAGCATTCCTCTAATGGCATTACAAACAGGAGATGTGTATTTTCTGTTAGCTTGGCTCCAGCAAAGAGAAGGGCATATTCTGTAATTTATATATATATATATATTGGTATTGCACAGCATTAGAAAGAATGTCTTTCTCAAAATAGCCATATAAATTGGCTTTCTTTGAGTCAGAGTTAAGAATATGAAACTCTTTGGTGTCAATAGTGTTCAGTGGGAGGATTTAATATTTAGTAGAGAGAGGAAATGAGTTAAAAATCCCTGTGTGTCTCATCACTGTCGTTGGTCCTAATTTTGGGTTATTTCTTTGATGGATGAAGTTGCCTGTCATGTGCTCTCCTAGCTATGATCTTCCTACAGGAGAGCAGTGTGCTGTTGAGCTGGCTCCAGGAAAGGGTATGACTTAATGGGAAATGTATGCAGGTTGATTTTACACCCAGGAACTGGAAAAGAGATTTCTCCTCCCTGACAGAGAATTCAGAAGGCAGCTTGCAGGGTTTTCCCTTTTTCCTGTTCTCACAATGCTGTATGCCTTTGAGGTTTGGGATGAAAACGGATCCAAATGCATATGGAAAAGCTGTGAAATACATCACCTGAAGTTATTGCAGCCTGTCAGACTTCTTTCTGAATGTGAGCACTGCAAAACCTTTTGCATTCCAGTTTCTATTCACAATAAATTCTTCCCATCAGAAATGTGTTTCTGAGCTGCCTTCTGCTGTTCTTTGCACTGTGTTCTGATGTTAATTTCTTACCCTGACCCTTAATTGAGAAGGAACATGCAGTGTGTCTGGCTGAAGCCAGGTGAGTAGAGCACCCACGTTTTCAGAAGCTGCATCGTGAAGTTTTCCCCGTGAAGAAATTAAAAAAGAAATAGCTGTTAACATTTCAACATTGCAGTTGTGCTCTGAAGTTGTGTAATACGCCAATTAACTTATCAGTCCTAGAATTGGTCAGCAAACACATGCTCTGAGCTCAGGTACTTATCTTTCCTTGGCTTTATGATCACAGAAAATGACGAGTTAATGGAAAAAAGCAGACATGGAAACGATAAACTTTTACTACTGTCTGGTACCTTCTCATCAACAGAAGCAACTCAGCCAAGCAGCTCTGGAGCTCGTCCAGCCTTAAATGTGCTCTTAGTTCTGTTTCATGTGCTACAGCAGCATCAATGGGAGCATTTGACAGACACTGTAGCAGTAGTTTATTGTATAATTGCCCTGGGTGCTTTAGGGTGAGTGGGAGCTTCCTCCAGAGGATGCAGGAGTGATGTTCAGAGGGGGAAGTCTGCTTCCAAAAAATCTTTTATCCAAAACCACAGTGCTATCTGGGAGCAGAACCCACTGCCATCAGATCCTTCTGATCCTGCAGTTATTCCCCCCCTCTTAAAGTGCGTGGTTTCAAACAGAGCTTCTGACTTGCTGTAAGAGGGTACTTTGGGCTGTTCTTTATTAATGTGCCACCTGAAATGGGAGCAGACAGCAGTAGGAGAAATGTCAAACTGGGGGAAAGGTCTGAGCCTGACAGAAACGGTGCCTTGACCCGGTGGGAGCAGCTGAGCTGTCCCCAAGACTGAATTCTGTTTGCTCTTACCGAAGTCCAGCACAAGCAGCTGCTACTTCAGTTAAACCTTCTACAGGGAAAGTTCCCAGATCTCATGCTGTGCTTGTAAAATAGACTTTATGGTTAAAATGCAGTGACCTGCTAAGTGCTTTCTTAGGATCTTTCTCTTACTATCTATCTTTCTTAGATTATCTTTTTCCCTTGCTAGGAGGCAGCCTGACCCCGGGCTGCATACATGGCAGATGTTCTTAACTAGAGCAGAGCTTTTAAGACTTTTCTGGAGCTGGTTCTTAGACCCAAACCTAATGAGCTGTATTACTGAATTTCTTACCGTGTTCTTGGACAGCTCAACCTGCTTTAATATGAGCAAACTATTTAGTAGGCTTACCCAACAATTAAATGATTAAGTTCTTCAGGGCAGCTGTTTGGAAGCTGCATGCAGTACAACTTTTCTGTAGTGAAAATGATTCAGGCAAGAGAGAGAAATGACTGAAGGTTTATTCCAACTGCAGTACAGTGGTAACAGTTAGTGTTGAAGTAACAGAAAGCGGTGAGAACATTTACACTTACAAATAAGTCAGTTAATAAGCAAAACATTGCATATGGAAAGCTGCAGTCCAATGTCCCAAGGTTAATGGCTAGCTAGCATTTGGCTCTGGAGATTGCATCAGCACCACCAGTTTGCCAACATTTGACAAACTCCACGTGGAGCTGTAAAAGGCAATTGACACTTCTAAATTAGAGCTGAACATTAATGCTAAGCTCTCTGCTATCGTTTCCATTGACAAAGTAACAGTGAGAGCTGTAGGTTTGGCATCACGTCTGTGATGGAGGAGATGCTGTGGTTCAAAAATAGCCCACACCTTCAAAACAGTTCAAGAAAACTAATCAATGAAATGTTAGGCACTTCTGTCTTGCACCACTGTGTTTGATCCACTAGTGATGGGTGGATGGTGGAAGAGTTAAAGCTACAACAGCCTTCCAAAGCCCAGCCTGACCTGGTGGGGGAAGGCTCAGTCTTTCCCACCTTCCTCAGACATTGTTCAGTGATAAAAGCTATTATAAAAACACACATCACCCAGTGAGGTATGGGATTAGTGGTGGTTGAAACCCTTTCCCATACCACCTTCTCTGTGGTTCTCCAGCATTGCATTCTTGTTGCTTAAAGTTCAGTATAAAAATACACTATTAAAAATAACTTCAGCCACAAAAGTGTCTCATAAGCCGGGCAAGGGGAGGAGAGCCTGCTCCTCAGCTGCAGGGACTGCTGAAGACATCACAGCCTCCAGGCCCAGGAGCCCACGCTGTGACAGTCAGACCCTTGAGCAACTTCTTTCTGCCTAACAAGCAGAATTGGCCCATTGTGCTGTAAGTCAGCCCCTTCCCGTGTGTCCCTGTGCTGAGGAAGGCAGACACTCTGGAGTCACTGTGCAAATTCACTTTGCCCCCTTAGAAAAATATTAGAAGAAAAAAAAAAAATCACAGTTTCTTTTTCCCCGAGGAAGTGGTGCAATAATTACATTCTCCCCTTCCTCCACCATTTAGTAACAGCTCCCCCTGAGCTCATCTCAACTTTACGTATTACTATAGCAGGAGATATGGGATGATATAAGTCAGACAAGAACTATAACACTGCCATTCAGTCCTTAAGTAGCTGAACTCTCACGTGTAAAAGCCACAACAGCATCAGTGTGTTGTGAGGATGGGAGCCTCCCAGCAACCCCCTTCTGACTGCAATGCATCGAGGTATGTGCCCTTGCTGGCACTACCACAGGTCTGATCACACTATAAATCCTTTCAATTCACTGTCTCATAAGCTAGAGTCTCTCTGTACTGCAAGAGTTCTTCTGCTTCTGTAGGTCTGTGGAAAGGGCAGTGAAGGATTTAATAATCCTAGCACTTAAAGGAGTGAATCAAGAGAGTTGTATCCAGTACCACAGGCGTCACACTCATAAGTCTTCTAACAGGTTAAAAAATGGGGGCAATGTTTGGATACCAGCCAGTTTAGAGGTGAACAGTGGGATTTTATGTTAAAAAACAAAAGCTTAAAAGCCCACACCACTCATTCTAGGATTTCTACCACATTCCCTGCAATAGTAAAAAAAAAACAAAAACAAAAATTTAAGTGCAAATAGACAAGTTTCCAAAAGCTCTGAAAGTGCTTTGGAAAGGTGAAGGGTAATCAGTCCATGGCTTTTGCAATGTCTTCATGGATGTCCAGCTTGGCCTGTACAGTCTTGCAGCCTTTATCAGAGTAGATTCTTGCTTCTTTTGGGAAGTATGTCATTTCATCAGCCACTGCCTGAACAACCTTCTCATCCACTTCGTGCCCACGGGCGATCATCTCAGCCCGCACGCACATCTTCACGTGCTTGTGCTCCAGGGGCAGCAAGGGAACAAAGTAGTCAATGAGGTTCCTGTCGATGAGGCTGCTGTGCCACAGTCCACCTGCAGGAGTTGAAGGAAGGAAAAAGATATAGGAAGGACATTCTCTAAACTTGGGTCTGCATAGGGTAGGCTCTGCAGATCAGACTTGATTCACAAAGAGGTTTATCTACCCCTGAGCAGCTTCTGTAATGAAAATTTCCCTGGGAATGGATGATATTGAAGTGAAAGAACCAAAGGGCCTTTGGTGATGGGGCACTGAGGAAGGTGAGGGACAAAAAAAGCAGAGCAGAATCAGGGTAGGTGAGGTGCAGATTGCTGAGACTAACCTTGTGGTGTGAAGTAAAGCAATTCCCATTTTCTAGGGGAAAGTGACTTACTGTTCTTGTTATTGAAGACTCCTACTGACAGCATGGGCTCAAGGTCTTTCAGCTGAATATCTTCCCTGCGCTTTCCACTGGTCCAGAAGTCAAGCGCTGCTTTGTTAATTAAGTCACCACCAGCATTGCTATTAAAAAAAGAAAAATTTACAGCAGTGAGCAGACACAATTAAGCCAGAATCTCTTTTCAGCTGGTCACATGAACTATTAACCTTGAAATCAAACAAGTTACTGAAACAGAAACCTGTAAGCCAAAATAACCACCCTCCCAGGCAGACCAGTGCCCAGCCAGCCTCTCACAGCTCCTCACCTTGGAAGCTGCTACCCCCACTTCTTTCTCCAACCCAGTTTTTATTGCTGAGCATGACACTGTAAGGTGTGACACGTTCCCCATGCCAGTCCAGTTCAGCTCTCCTGGCTGTGCCCACTCCCAGCCTTGCCTTTTGCCCACCACCCAGCGAGGGGAAAAAAAGAAATCCTTGAGGCTGTGCAAATAACAGCCAAACACTGGGGTGTTATCAGTGCTGCTTTAGCCACAAATGCAAAACACAGGCACCAAACAGGCTGCCCTGCAGAATTTTAACTCCATCCCGGCCATACCCAGTGCACCTATCCCAAAGAACTTCTCCAAAATCTGAGCTCTCATGCAAGCTGTGCTTTGGGCTGGTCTCATGACTTCTCGTATATCTCTTCTGCTGAATGAAGTCCCATACAAACACCATTAGCCTCATAAATACAGATTAGTTTTCAAAGAGATGCCACCGACCTGAGGAAGATGAAGATGGCTTTCCTGTAGGACACCCCATCAACCTGCTCGTAATAATCCAGGAAGGGCTTGATGGCATCAATGAGACCCTGGTGCATTTTGTCCATCTCATCGAAAATGAAGACCGAGTGAGCACAGGCACTGACATTGCCTCGAATCCAGTTCTGCAATTGCTCCTGAAACAAGGTGAGAAATGCTGCAAGATGAGGCTGTACCATGAGGTGGTCACAGGGAGTCCAGACACCCCTCCCCAGCTGCCCCCATCCCACCTCACTGGTTGTGTCCTTTTCCCAAAGACAAGACCATAAACACCACAATCGATCCCTTGGATATAACACTGAATTTAAAGGTGAATTCTTCCCCTGCTCACAAATCAAACTTCCTCGTTCCTTCTCCTTAGTGCATGGATGAGATGATGAGCTCTGGCTACAGCAATTTGTCTATTTGCTTTAAGTCAGTGTTTCCTCTTTCATACAGAAAGCACAACTACAACCCCGTCCATTCAAACGCTGGAACGTGAAGATAAGAAATCCCCAGGTTGGAGGAATGCCATATGGAAACTCTCCCACCTACACTTTCATGGCACAGTGCAGTGGGGCTGAGCAGCAGTCAGCACCCCGTGGCCACTTGTTCCTAAAGGATGCACAGAGAGTACGGAGAATTACTGAAACACTGAGGTTGGGAAGGACCTCAGAGGACCACTAAGACGATCAGAGGGCTGGAGCAGCTCTCCTGTGAGGGTTGGGGGAACTGGGCTTGTTTAGCTTGGAGAAGAGAAGGCTCTGGGGAGACCTCATTGTGGCCTTCAGTACTTGAAGGGAGTGTATAAACAGGAGGGGGAACGGCTGTTTACGAGGGTGGGCAGTGATAGGACAAGGAGGAGTGGTTTTAAACCGAGACAGGAGGTCTAGGTTAGATATCAGGAGGAAGTTTTTCAACGTATTCTATAAGTTCACACATCACGGATGCTGACACAAGTAATCATTACTAGCTTAATGCACACCAACTCCTCTAATAGCAAAACCACTTAATGAACAGCAACAAAACATGAGAAGTCATTCCAGTTTTACCAATGCAAGTGAAGGATAACGACAGGACAAGGGGGAATGGTTTTAAACTGAGATAGGGGAAGTTTAGGTTAGATATTAGGAGGAAGCTTTTCACCCAGAGGGTGGTGAGGCACTGGAACAGGTTGCCCAAGGAGGCTGTGGATGCCCCATCCCTGCAGGCATTCAAGGCCAGGCTGGATGTGGCTCTGGGCAGCCCGCTCTGCTGGTTTGCGACCAGCAGGGGGTTGGAACCGGATGATCACTGAGCTCCTTTATCAACCCAGGCCTTCAGCACCCGCGCTATCGGCACCGCCGCAGCCACAACGCGGCGTGGCAGAGCGGCTGAGCCACCGCAGCGCGAACCCAACGGCGCGGCGCTGCCAGCCCCGAACCGCCCCGCGCTCACCTGGTACAGCGGCACCCGCTGCGGGTGCGGGAAATGCAGCGTGGCCAGGAAGAGGTGCACGAATTTACTGCGCAGCCCCGCGGGGTGCACGTGGCGGGCCAGCAGCTGGCTCAGGAAGTTCTTCCCGGTGCCGGCCCAGCCGTGCAGCGACAGCGTCAGCGGCTTCTTGGGGCTGGGGTTGTTGCTGAAGCCCGTCACCGCCCGCAGCACCACCTCCTTGGCCAGGTGCTGTCCGAACAGCCTGCCGTCCAGCTGCTCCCGCAGCGCTGCGGGGAAACGCCGTCAGCACCGACCCCTCCGCGCCCCGAAAGCCACGACCCCCCCCTCTCCCCCCGCTCCCCGGTACCGGTGGCGTTGAGGCGGTGCCCGGAGCCGGGGCAGCACTCCACGTAGTTGCAGTAGAAGCTGGGATGTGACAGGTAACCGGTGAGCGCCGAGGCCACGCCGATGGCCAACCCCACGCTGAGCGGCTCCAGCGCCGCCAGCCCCGGCAGCACCAACCACAGCAGCACGGCCGCCCGCATGGCGCCTCCGCACGGCCCCGCTTCCGGCCCGCCGCCAACGGGAGGGAAGCGCCGCGCCCCCCGGGTAACCGCCGCCGCCATCTTTGTCAAGGGCGAGGGGCGGGGCGTCCTCACCGCCTCGGGGCGAGCTGCGCCTCGCTGCCGTTGGGCGTCCCCCCGGTGGGATGCAGCGCATCCTCGGTGCCACTCGTGTTAGTGACTGACCTCTCAGTGCCACCTCTGGTGCCCGGTGTCCCCACAGTGCCACCCCAGCTGCAGGTGTCTGTGCTCTCAGCGCTACCTCTGCCGTCCTTCCTGTCGTTTCAGTGCCACCCCTGGCTCCCAGTGTCCCCTCAGTGCCACCTCTGTCCCCCGGTGTCTGTCCTCTCGGTGCCACATCAGCGCCTGTCCCCCACGCTGTCCCTCCGCGTTCTCCCACTAAAGGCCACTTCCCACTGCCTTCAGCCTCCTCTCTCTCCTTCATCATCAGAGCTCAAGGGACGGGGCAGCGCGTCAGGCCCAGGGATGTGACAGACGATGGGGACATGGAAAGTGATGGGGATATGGTTGGTGACAGGGACATGGCAGGCGATGGGGACATGGCAGGTGACAGCACAAGGCACAGAAGTGCTGCCCCAAAGGAGCCCCTGCAGCCAACACCCAGACAACGCTCTCAGCCATACGGTCTGCTTTACTGGGAGGCCCCGTGTGGAGCCAGGACTCAGGGATCCCTATGGGTCCTTTCCAACTTGGGATATTTTATGATTTATTAAAGGGCTTCACAAAAGGCCCCTCTGGAACAGGATAAATCCTAGCCCCATCGAGGAAGGAGATGTAGACAGATGGGTATTGATACGAGTCCTTCTGCCTGGTTGGTCTTGCAACAGGAGCACGAGGTATGGCTGTGTGGTGCCTAGGTGCTCAGAGCCACTCTGGAGGCCACAGTCTTGCAGCCTTTGCTGGAGTAGAGCCTTTCCTCGCTGGGGTAGTCTGCCATCGCCGAGGCAATCTCGGTGATGAGGTCTTCCTCCTCAGGATGCCCTTGAGCACGCAGCTCCTCCCGGACACACTGCTTCACGTGTTTGTATTCAAGAGGGAGGAAAGGAATGAAATAGTCAATCAGGTTCTTCTGGATCAGTTGGCTTTGAAAGAAACCGCCTGGAAGAGAGAGCACGGAGAGCTCTGCCATCGGCATGCTTAGGAGGCAGCACTGCTTCGTGCTTTGTGGAGCAGTCTGCAGAGAGCTGACACTCACACATCAGCGGCTGCGGGAGCCCAGAGGTGCTGTACTCACTGTTTGGGTTCCTGAAAATGTCCTCAGAGAGCAGATCTTGCAGCTCCTCCGCAGGAATGTCTTCTCTCCTCTTCAACCTTCTCCAGTAATCAAGAGCGATCTCCGTTATCTTATCTCCACCTGCATTGCTGTTAGGAAGGAGATTCACAGGCTCATTAGATTGTGTATCTTTGCTGTCTTTAGTGCTCATGTCTTGGCAGTGACTGCGTGATTCTGCACTGGTGATGTTTCTTTGTGTGGGGGTTGCCCAGAAATGGGAAGTGACAAAGACCACAGCAAAGGAGGGACCCTGAGCTGCTCAGCTGGGCTGATTCAGCCACAGACCTGTCAGCAAGTGGCACTCCCTTTGTTCCTACTGTGTCTGTGGGGCTGTAACTCCTTCTTGGCCCTTCACTTTCCTTACTTCAGGAAGATGAAGATCGCCTTGCCATAATAAACTCCATCAATCTCATTGCGGTAGCTGAGGAACGGCAGGATTGAGTCTATCAGTCCATGCGGCATTTGATCCATCTCAGAGAAGATAAAAAGGGACCTTGGGCAGGCGCTGACATTGCCCCGAATCCAATTCTGCAGCTGCTCCTGTGAGAAGAAACAAAACTATCCTGTGTTTGCCAACTCCCAGCTGCAGATAAATTGGAAGAAATGAGCTAAAGCTGTACGTACCTTATACAGATGGACATGCGAACCGTGTGAGAAATGCAGCACCGTGCTGAAGTGGTGCACAAACCTCCTCCTCCATGCATTGAGTCGGTAGAGGTTCTCTGCAATGATACTGCTGACAAACGATTTGCCTGTGCCAGTCCAGCCATGGAAGGACATCACCAGGGGCTTCTTGGGCTGCTTGGAGTGAAGATTTGTACTCAGAGCCCTCAGAACTATTTGGACAGCCAGATGCTGGCCAAAGACTTTTCGCTCCAAATCCATCTTCACAACTGGAAGAATAAGGGCAGAGTCAGAAGGTGCCATTTGTTCCTTCCCTTTCTCTGGCTGCAGCTGGATGGCCATCAGAGGGAGCAAACATACGCTGCCTGAGATCACAAATCAGCAGAGAACCAAACTCAGGAGCAGAGAACCAAACTCAGGAGCAGAGAACCAAACTCAGGAGCTGACTCATGAAACAAATCTCAATGGCATTTATAGGAACCAAGCTGCTTGCAGGAGAGTTTGCCATGAATTTTCATGGCAGTATACCACTGCCTTCTGTAAAACTCTGGGATGGGATCTTCTCTATAGATAAACAGAGATACTATGCATGCACAATTCTCATTAACTGTTTTTGAGTCCTTTTATAGAAACCCACGCTTATGTTGCTATATAATGTCCTTTTAAAAGAGAATCCCAACCGGTGTTTCAATGGCTGAAGTGCCAGAAAACAGCCTGTTTGTCACCATCAAATGCAGAGCTGGTATGAAGCGATGTATTGTAGCATCAGGAGGCAAAGGGACCTGCAGCACTTGAGGGTTTCCCCTGAAATTTACATCCCAGCTCTGAAACGAAACAATATTTGCAGTCCTATGACACAGGAGTGGGGGATTTCCAAGTGGCAGGCTCTGGAATGTGTGGTTAGAAAGTAGCTCAAGGTTTTTAAAGCCCTGCAGTTTCAGGATGAAATAACTGCCAGACTGCTTATCTGGGGGAAATGAAACAACGTTTTGAACCATAGAGCTAGCACTAATCACTGCTCCTCGTTCAACACAGATTATAGGCAATGAGTGGCTGGGGTTTGGGATAAGCTGTTAGAAGCCTTTGCTTTCTGGAGCTTCTCTTTCCACAAGCACTCAAAGAACGCGCTGGGAATTCCCCCCCCAACCCAAGAAGGGCCATCACTGCCCTTCCCACTGCCTTACCTGAGAAGTTCAGTGTCTCCTTTGCATTGCAGCACTCCAGGAGACTGCACCTGAGCCAGGAGTGAGGGGAGAAGAGCTGCCAGCCGATGGCTGCACCCCCCACAATGATGTAAGCACTGAGCGGATCCATGGCGGGCGTCAGTGCGGGGACAAGGATGGAGAGCACACCAGCATAGAGAAGCTTCATGGTGAGATGTGAAAAGAAAGGAAAGCAAAACTGAAACTGCAGGAAAAAAAAAAAAAAACAAAAAACAAAACAAAAAAAAAAAAAAACAAAAAAACTTCCTGGAGCATGAAGCTGTTTGTGCAAATAGAAACCACTTTTTCTGTGTGATGGATGTGTACAGTTATCACACTGTTCCTTGTGAAATGAAAGTGTCAGAGCAGAGTACTGCTGGGGGATGAGGGGTATTGAATAGGGAGAGCTCAAGCAGAACGTTCCCAGCTCTGAGGGCATGGAACCTCATGGCACCTGGAGCTGCTGCTTCATTCACCAGGAACACAGCAGTGCTCGTTTCAGGTTGAGCTGTACCACATCACCCAAAGGTTTCTGCAGCTCTGCAGCTCACAGTTGGGACACACCAGAAAGGTGCCTTTTCAGACCAGATTCTCAGAGCAAGTGTTTTGTCCTACCAGCTTTGTGATCCCTGCCTTTAAAACAAGAATTGCCTTGCACTCAGAGCCAAGGGCATCAAGCACATGGGGAAGCCATAGGGCTCCACGTTTGGAGTCCTCTCTGCCCAAGTCCCATGCTGGGCACTGGTCCTGCTCGGGGCTCCTTGTTTTGGGGTGCTGGTGCAGATGGATCACCTGCAGAGCGAGTACGCAGAGCCCCCAGAGCCCCAGCAAGCTGCTGAAGAAGCGATGGGAGTTTTCTAGTCTGTGTTTCCTTGACGCGCAGTCCTCTGCATTGGTCCGTGGTGGACACTAGATGGGGTGTCAGACAAAGAAATTCATCCAGGATTTACAGAGTGAAACTTCTGCAGAAGTTGGAAGTGATGCCTGAGAAAATCAGGAGGGGCGCTCACATCTGCTCACACAGAGCTTGTGTTATGAAAATTTCTCAGGACAGCAAACAGCGCAGCGCTCACAGCTCTGGCTCCGCAGAGGGCGAGAGCCTCACAGGCAATTTCAGTCTGAGAACAATGTTATCTCAACAAGGGAGAGTTTGAATAAAGAAATGAGGTTGATGGTTGCTCACCTCGTGGATCTCAGCAGATGAAGGGACAGGACGTGGTCCTGAGAGTACTGAAATGGAATGGCAGCTCTTAATCTCTCCAGGATAAAGTGCAGTGCCAAGCTGTGCCTTGGAAAGGATGAGTGGCTTCAGATCTTATGGTCCACTCTTTCTCCTCGTATCTGGGGGTGCGGAGCCTCTGCTGACTATGGAGACAGTAAGGTGTCTATAGTAAATTCTTTGCTGTGATTTTGTGTCCTTCCACAACACCCCACTAACCAGCACGTCTCCCTAAACGTGTGAAATGCAAAGTAATGTGCCAGAAACAGCAGAGAGGAGGAGGAGAATGACCTCATTTATGCGTAAAGAAGGAGCAGCATGAGACACATCTATAGATCTTTTCCTTCCCATATGGGAGGGAGGTGGCATATATTTCCTATACAACAATAGGATGTATGCTGCCTAACAGGTACCAGATGGGTGTTTAAATAACCTTCAGCTGCAACATGTCATGCTGTTATCTCATTATCCCTTACAAGTTAAATGGGTTCAAGCTGGGCCTGGACATGGCTGAGATGTCTAATAGCGGTGGTGAGGCTGACACTGATGGCAATTTCCTTGAACAGCTGTCTGGAAGCTCCAAGTGGAGCACAGACCTGCAACGTGCAGCCTGCAAAGCCTGAGCACGGTGCTCTGCCCTTCCCACCTCCCCACAGAGCCTCAGCACAGCACTGCTCATCATCACACATTGGTACTTGTCCCCGTCAGCACAGACATCAGTGGGCACGGGGTGGCAGTTGCAAAGGGGAAATAAGGGATGCAGAGGTGGGCTGCTAAAGGCAAAGCGTGTGAAGAGAAGAAAGTCCCAGCCAAGAGTTCTGCCTGCCCTTCCTCTGCAGTCTGTATGTTGAAATTTTCTGTCACCCACCCATGGGCTGATTTGTGTGTTGTTGGTTTAAAGTCAATGCTCCTGGCAGTTAGAGCTTGCAGCAGTGTGGCACAGAGCCTGGAGGATTGGGGCAGCACTGGTCAGCGTGCCTGGCTGGCTGGAGAGCCGAGGAAGGATGCACGTCTCCAGCAGGGTGATGGGAATGGGAGCTGCAGCCCTGACTTTTCTTCATGGAGAGGAAGAAATTTGCAGGTAAGAGTTTTAGGGTGAGTGAAGCAACACTCTTCCCTGAAAAAGCCTGTGGCTTTGGGTTGTATGGGTTTCTCCATATTTCCAAGTACTTCAGCAAATAGGTTTGGGACACAGCTGCCTGTTGACATGATGTGCTGGGCTGGAAAGAGGATCTTGTGAAGATTTCTTGCCAGAGAAGTGGAAAACTCTCCTTCTCAGTGCTCATTTTTATTTTTACCCAAGCATATCTCCTTCCACAACACTTGTCTCGCTGCCTTCCGACCCTGACTGGACACTCTTAGTGCTCAGAGTCTTTCCAACAGGAGTGTTTTTATTTTTTCCCTCCCGTTTGCGTGGTTTGAGTTTGTTTTCTTTCCCTGCTTCAATTTCAGCATCACGTTCCAAGTCATCCTCGTCCTAAACACCAAGACCAGGCAGCAACAGGAAAAGGCTGTCGCTCTGACGTACTTTGGGATCTGTTCAGAGCCTGGCTAAGCTCTGAGGACGGCACTAATGCTGTGGGAAGGCTCTGACTCATGGAACATGGTCATTCATTGACCTTTCTATAATGTGATGGTAGCAATAACACCAAACACCAAAATCTACGTGAATGTTGAGCAAACATTGTCTAATCCTGGCAACACCCAAGGAGTCAAAAGACCGTCATCCTCCTCTTGCAGCTAGGGAAAACGAGCCTTAAAGATGATGAATGTTCTTAACGTGACATTTTATGGCAAAGGGATTGGCAGCTCTGCTCTCTCTCTGGAATCTTTGCTGGAGAGCCTTGAGCAGATTAAAAAATCCTTGTCTGGGATACAACAGCCCAGAGCTCCTGGTGCTGATGTGTGCAGCTGTGCTGTGTGAGGAGGTACAGTCTGACAGGGAAAGGTAGGGATGGACGTGGGGTAAGGGTGGAGGGAAACATGGTGGTGCATGTGGCCAGGCACATCTGTCCATGTGAAACAGCTCCTTTGATCACAGTTGAATCCCTGTGAAATTCCAATGGACTCGCAGAGCTTTTGTTCTGAATGCTCCCTCTAGGAAACACAGCTGAGTTCGGCCCTACAGGATTTCCCATCTGGATGCCTCGAAGCCTTTTGCTCTGTCTGCAACATAGGCTCAGGAAAGAGACTCACGGTAACATGCAGAGGGAGACAAATGGAGTTTTAAAGCTGCACCAGGTGGTTTGCAGCAGGTGGGGCCAACCAGGTGACGTTACCTGGTGGGGATAGGAGTGAAAGGAGCAGGAGAGGTGGTGCTTAATGCCATGCTGGGTCTGCAGCGCTGCTGTGGGTGAGTGGAGCTGCTGTCTCATGCTTCTCCCCTCCTGTGGGCACTTCCTTGAAAGGTAAAGCTGTGTAGATAAGTGCAAGGTGGCAAGCTGGCAGGGCACCTCCTGCCCTTTATAGGGCAAGAGCTGCTGCTGATGTGTGTGTTTGATCTTTCAGTGGTATTAGCTCCATCCATCCAGTGCTAATGAAGGAGATGGATGGAGGGCAGCTCTCTCAGAACAAACACAGGGAGATTCTTAAGTGCCTGCAACTACAGTGGCTCTGTTTCTTCTCAGATCATAATGTGCTTTTGAGGGAGAAGGAAGGGGGTGGGGGGGGATCAGCTCATTGGCTTTGGGGAAACTGAGGCACATTTTGGGACCAGGAATGAAGAGGTTGAGATACAGCTGCCCCGAGTCTGTGCTCCCACCTAATTGCCTCTGGGCTCTGGTTTCAGGGCTGGTGTTGTGCAAGATCGTGGTGAATAATGGATGGATTGGAAGTGATAGAGCCAGCGGATGGCTATCGGGTTGCACTTGCAGTTGAGATTGTTTTGGCTTGTAAACTAAACACTGCTCGTGCAGACATCCGTGGTTTAGTGATTAGATCTGGGGTCCGGGCAAGATGGTGTCACCCTGCATGGAGCAGCACAGGATGGGTGATGTTAGTTGTGCTGCAGCCTCCTCTTCAGTGGGATGGGGATGCCATGAGACCTGGATTTCACCCATCTTAGGTTTGTTGGTTTTTTATTTTCTCCTTTTTTAATTATTATTACTTTTTTTTTTTAATTTAATTTTATTTTTTTAAAGCAGAATCTGTTTGGCTTTCACCGGGTTCCAATCTGGGGCTGGGATCTGCTCTCTGGTTTTGCTCTCCATCCAGGCTTGGAAGCAGCTGAAGCGGAGCAGCTCTCGTGTGAGCCAGCCTGTGTGGCTGCACAGAGCAAGAAATAACAGGGAAACTCTACCCCTATGTTTACTTCTCTCTTAAAACTTGATTTCTGTTGCAGATAATAATAACTTAGAGACAATGCCTGTGTGAAAGGGACAAAAACATTCTGCTCCAGGAAGGGTTGCTACAGGAATAGGATTACAGGCCATGAGACACACTGTTCCCCAGCCATGGGCCCTCTGATGTGGCCAGTGCCTTGTATCTCATACAACATACATACACCAGTGGGGTTATTAGCCAGACATCCCCGTCCAGAGCTTTGGGACCTTTAGATGAAAGAAGGTATAAAAGTGCTCCGTAGGTCTGGAGTTGGATTAGAATCAGAGGCTGTGCTTGGCTTGCAGCTCACAGAACAAAACCCCCTGCTCTTTCACCCATCTCCTGTAGAAGAGACTTAAACACAGGTCACTAAAATAAGTCCTGCAAAGCAGCTATTGCAAACAAGGGCTCCAACACGAGCAAATTCCTGAGGTGTTGAGCTATTGTGCAGCTGCTCCAGTTATGCAAGAAAACTGATTTGTAGGGCCTGATGTTATCCCATTGGTGTGGCCTTTGGGAGCTCTGGGAATGGCTGTGTCCCTGCAGCCTGCTGTGCTGGGCACTCCTGCGTGTGCATGCAAATGCCATTCCATGCAAACTGTGCAAAACGATCTCTCTCAGCTGCTCTCCTCTGCTCTTCCTTCTGCTGATAGGAGGAAATCTTGTCCAGGAACATGGACTGGAGTGTCTGCAAGCAGAATCCCAAGCAGCTGTGTTGTCGTTCTCTGATTTCTGTTATCAGCATTCCACATCATAATATCACGTAGTGTGTTGGGAGTTAGACTTACTGCTCCAGTTTGGTGGATTGTTGATATTTCCAGGTACGTGGTTCTCAGGAGAGAAGAACTACAAATCCTAGAAGACTTCACTGTTCTGTTTCCATTTTCTGTTTAGAGGGAAAGATAAAATGAGGACGAGACGTTCCCTTATTTTAACTGCTCCTCACTGCTGTGTGTGCACTCTCTCATCTTCAGCATTAGAGTAAGGCCTTCAGTTTTGGGTGCTCTCCCTCATTCATTTGATTTACTAGTTTCAATTCCAATTATATTGTATTATATTGTGTTATCTTGCACTCCACTATCATATTTAGTAAATTTTCTCCCTTAGCTCGATGCCACTGTTTTGTTTGTAGGCACATCTCCCTGCCTTTTCCCCTTTTTTCCCTTCCTCATCTTCTGGGACATGAGTGCATGGGTCCCCTTGCCCCATTAGTCACAGAACTGGGCTGAACTGGCCCCAAACCAGTGACGAGCTGTCACTCAATCTCCTGGATGGTTCTGCTGTTTGAGCAGGGCCAGCTGCACACTGCTAACCCCTCTGCTTCTGCAGAACCCATCAGAAGTGCTCAGTGAGCACCTGTTGGGTTGTGCTCCGTGTCCAATGCTGAACCACTGGGGTGGAGTCACTCCCATATATCAGACATGGAGACATCCATCAGTGCTGACCATAGAGAGTCTGAATAGTACAGGTTCTCTTTCCAGGAGGTGTATGGTCTAATGGGGGGAGGAAAATGGAGTTCTGTGAATAGAAAGATTGCATGCAGGGCTTCGGTATCCAGCTATTGTTAAGATGTATTTGAGAGCTGGGAACCCCATGGCTAACGGTGAGCTGGAACAAATCAAGGACAGGAGGATGGACACGCTCCACAGAGAGCAGGGTTCGCTCTGTGCTAACAGCAAGCCAAGAGGGACACCGTGCTGGGGTGCAGAAAGACCCAAAGGAACAGAGCTGAGCAGAGCAGATCAGTCAGATGGCTGTGGGGTGGTGTCTCAGGCCTGTCTTCTGCAAGAACACAGTTGGAATTCCTTTATTTTAGGAACAGCCTCTCCAGAGCAATAAGCAGCTTGGTAATGGAGACATCCTAGAGCCCAAAGAGAGGACCTGTGGCATTTAAAAGAAAAATGAGCCAAAGGACTGCTGGTGTGTGGAGTGCAGTGAGTTGGGAGTCATGTGCTGGTCATCTGCTTGCCTCAGCGTTGGAGGGAAATAAGAAGTATGGTTGGGATAATCAGAAGCATGGAGGAATCTCCTTTGAAGAAAGATGAAAGTGAATGGGGTGTGATAAAGCTGAGTAAGAGGTAATTTCACAGACGTGTATCAAAGGAGGAGTATGCTAGACAAAGCTGAGCAATAATCGCCGTTCTTCCTAACCCCCAGCATGTCTCCCCATGACATGAACAAGAGGGGAGGCAGATCCTATGAAAAGATTATCGTCATCATCTTAACTTATACTGTGTTTTACTGTGGGAATCATCATCCCAGGAATTAATTTAATTTCAACAGTTTGGAAAGTGAATCGACGCGTATAATTATCGAGCGCTACCGTCAGCTATGACAACAATTCGGGAAAGGGAATTAAACCTAGTGATTCAGAGCTTAAATTAATCCTCAGGTTCTGAAAGGTCAATGAACCAAGGTGTTTATGAGGCCAGTTTGCTGCTCTCTGCTCCCTGCAGGGGCTGTGGGGCCTTGGAATGGTGGTGAACAGCAGGGCTCGTATGGCTGGGCACCTCTGTGCTCTTGTTGGAGAGCAGCAGTCCCCTCCCAGCACAAACCAGCACAGCTCCTGTCCCTTTCATTGCTTCACTCTCCTCGTGGGACGGCTCTGGCCTCCATCCCACAGCTCCCATCTCTGCTCCCTTCCCATGACTTCTTCCCAACTGGTTCCTATCTAATGGCTGAGCGCTTCTTGCTCATTTTTAGCCATGTTGATGGCACCGTCAGTAGAAACGTGCTGTGCTAGAAAGATGCCTTCTGCTGCTTTGTAAATATTTGTATGGAGAGCATACCTCCTCGTGGAGGGCTGCGTAAAGCAGTCGTGGTTCCATAAACACAGCAGACCTCTTGAGCACACGTCATGGCCATGGGGGCAGAGCCTGCAGGTCAGGAGAGCCATCAGAGCATGGGATCTGGGTGGGTTGCTGGTGCTGCTGGTGGTTCACATGGAGAGGGAATGCCAGGACAGTAAGTCCAAGTGCTGGACTCCATGTTTAAGCTGTTGCTTGCAGGGATTTCTCTGCTTCATTGCGTCATTCACACCACATTCTGCTCTTGTTAAAGATGGAATATTAGTCTGGATTGTTGTGTGGTCCTACATCCCTTTCTCTTTCCTCACTGTGGCTTTTTGATTGCTTCGTAAATCCCACGTGCTGCGCTGCGCAGGGCGTGCGATCCTCACTGCAGTGTCCAGAAAGCAGCCTGTGAGCTGCATTCCTTTCTCCTTATCTCCTGCTCCAGCACTTAAGATGTGACTCCAGCCTGGGTTGTGAGCTGTGAGTGCACAGGAAGAGCTCCCAGGCAGCGAGGGCTGTAAACAACACAGCTAAAGGACTCCCTGCTCTCTAGGCGGACTGCAGGGAGGATGCTCTTTGCATTACGCATGAGAGGTATTTACTAATAAACGTCAGCATTTGGGACCTGGACCACCTTTCTCCTGGTTGCTGAGATGCAAATAGTGCTGCCAATATGAGACTGAATGAACACATCGTGCCAACAGCACAGGAAAAGAAAGGGAAAGTTTCAAAATGTATCGGGAACATTGCTCACAGGCTGACTTCATCCAAACTGTGGAAAAAACCTCAAACCACCAAGAAGCTCTTACTGGTCTGAGTCAGGCACCCTGCGTTCTTAGCAAGCAAGCTGACTGATGGAGGTAAAAGTTGAGGAGCTGGGAGCTCAAATGTCTTTGCTCAGGGTTGCTGCAAAAGGGCTGCCCAGTGCCTTGCTCTGAGAAATGAGATGAGCATCGGTGATAAAGAGATTTAGAAAACATGACCTATGGGGAGAGGTGGGAGGGATTAGTGCTGTTTAGTCTAGGAGGGATGGAGGGGGCAAAGAACTCAGGGCTTTGAAAATGAGGTCTGCATTTTGGAGAGCGTCATGGGGAGGCAAAGTGTGCCCCAATTCCTCTTCCTTTGTCATGCAGTGTGTGGAGGCAGGACTGTGCAGAACCCTTCACCTTTGATCTTGCTCAAGAGAATCCCACCAGGGCAACTGTAGTTACTTCATATGTTTGCAAATGCTTGCTTCGAGTCTAGGAAATGCTTCCCGATTTCGGAATGTTTGGCAGTAGGACTTATTTCTCTTCCCCCCCCCTCCACCCCCCACCCCAGCCTGGCTGGGAAAGCCCCTCTTTTTGGTCAGTGACATAAGTGGTGTTTGCCTGTTGTTTATTGGCATCTGGTTCAGGGGAAGAAACACGATGCAAGTTGCTGCAGTGGGATGAAGTGAGAGATGCTGGCTTCCCACACACCTAGCCCTGTCCCCAGCTCCCACCACGGCCCCGTGGCAGCTGCAGGTGCAGGTCTGTCTGGAGCCTGTTTGGACTGCTGGGTGGAATGGAGTGGAGCAGAGCATCCCTCCCAGCTGGGCTGCATCTCTGCAGCCTCGCCAAGGAATTCTTCCCTTTAAGAGACAGCTCAGGCATGAATCCATGTGAGGCTCAGAACAAGAAAATCTGATCTGCCTCCCACATGCTCATGGCTGCTTTTCCAGCAGCCCTTCCTCGCTGTCCCACAAGCAGGGGACAGTGACTGCCCCGCAGTCATGGTGGCTGGGAGCAGGGCAGCAGCCTGGCAAGGGATAGAGCTGGGGCTGGCCAAGGAACAGCAGCATCCTCTGCTCCTGCTGTGTCCCAGACCAGGAGATGCTGCAACCCTTCCCCAGGCCTCTCTGCTGCTGCCAGCATCTGGTCTTTGGGAGAGACCCATTGAGAGGCCTCAGACACGAGGAATGTGCGTAGCTCCTGCCAGTACAGCTGCAGGGAAGATGCTTTGCAGTGCAACACAGACAAAATCTCCTGGAGTTTGAAGAATTTGGAGCTTGCCTGTTTGTTTTAGGCTTTGAGGCGCTTTGCCATATCTTCTCCCGTGCTTCGTGCTGCAGTGAAGACCCCAGGAGCTGGGGAACAGGGAGCTGTGTGTGAAGCAAGGGGATTTCACCCTCGTGGAGTACGGGGTGCATCATGAGTAGGGCTAATCCCCCTCTTCCTGATGTGACCTTTCGTGCAGGCTGGTGGAAAGGTGGAGCACCTTTCTCTTTAATTAAGGAATATCTAAGCTGACTCATGCCTTTACTTGAAGCTGTGGTTGCATTGGAGCAGGAGCAATCTCCCGTGGGCCGCCGGATTTCCCAGGGCTGGGCACAGCAAAGGGCAAGTGATGGCTGGAGCAGGGCATGCCTGCAAGCTGTGTGATGGGAGAGGCGGGAGACAGTGGGGAAGGAGGGCACTGAGTGGGCTGGAGTATAGCTGGGGGCCATCTGCAGCCATGGGATGAGCTGCAGCCTAAGGGAAAACAAAATCCTCCCCTACCAGGCAGCAAAATGGGGAATTGTCCATTTGGGCAATGGGAAATGCCCTCTACAGTCCCAGCCGTGCCACCGTGACACACACATCCATACCCCAGTGGGAAGGATTTCTGACACAAGCAGCCCTCTCACTTTTAGGTGCCACCAGGAAATGACCCAGCACAGCAGTGCTGGAAAAACACAGTTATAATGCTGTGGTATAACTCAGCTGCTCAAATAAACAGTTCCCTGTGTGGGAAATGAGAGCAGCTTTTATCCCTTCTAAAGAACCTAAAGAAGGGTTGTTATTAGAGGCTTCTATTTTTAAGCACTTCTCTCAGGCACTTCCCGTGAATTTTTCTTTCCTTCTTCCTGCTCCTTGTTCCTCCTCCAACAAAACCCTCCACCCTTTTCCCACAGCTCCTGGGGTCATTCTGACCTGACTGGTACATCTTCAACCCTTTCAGATCCCAACCCTGACTGCTGTTAACCATTCACCCGCAGAACGCAGTGCTTTCCACCAGCATCACTGGCACTGGGCAGGTCCTTGGGCTGCAACCTCGTGTGCTCAAGGCTTTGTGGCACAGCTGCGTTATGTTGCCTTCAGGACCTGCTCTTGTTCAGGCAACAGCTCCATCCTAGCAGGATGTGCTCCGTGTAGGAGGATCAGCAGCCGCCTTCCGCCCCAATTAATGGGGCAGCTGAACACGGTCCTGGCAGCTGCACTGCCGCGGGCCAGGAGGTGCCGCCCTGCCATGGACGTGTCCAACATCACGAGGGCCCTCAACGTGAGGCACCCCAGCAGCACCACATCCGCCCTCTGAGCTGCTCTGCCCCTCATTCCCATCCATGTGGGTGCCGTGCCCGTCCCTCTGCAGGGCTGTACACCCAGCACATCCGATGCACATGGGGCTGGGGCTGCTCCTAGGCTCACATCTGGACAACCCATAGTTCTCCATCTCCCCGTTTGCTGCTGGAGCAAACAGGAGGAGTCCTGGTTTGTCAGCAGGTGGTACTGAGCTTGTACGTATTCCTGCTGCTCTGCAAGGTGTGCTGATCCCTGGGGAGGTGCAGAGGCAGATACAGAGAGAAGGCTGCTGGTGTCTGCTCTGTCTAGGGGGTGCCACCACTGTCACATTGCTGTCCTTGTGCAGCAGGACCCGAGCATGATCCTGGGCTGTAGCATTCCTGCTTACTGCTCTGGTTTCTCTCGGAGCAAAGTGTGCTCATTTGGCAGTTAAAAAGCACTGCAGAACAAAGTCAGTCTTACAGGTAGCAATGCTTTGATGGATTCTTTTGCAAGAAGCAAACCATCCTATTCTGCTCATGGGTTTATTTTGTGGCTGGAAACAACTATTTTAGTCCAAACCAGAAAGAACTACTCACATACCCAGAACATTCATTTTCCAGTCGATCTCTGAACGTATCCATTTGCTTGAAATAGACCTTTTTGTGTGTGTAAAGGAACCGAGTCCCCAGTCCAGCCCTTGTAAGCTCAGAGAGCTCCCTGCCAGCGCTGGGGCCGCGCAAGGGAAGGAGGAGTTAAAGGTTTGCAATGCAGGAGCAGCCAAGCTCCGACCCTCCTTGCAGGCTTAGATCCTCTCACTCTTCTCTTCTGATGGCTGGGAAAACCAGCTCCAAATTCAGATGCCCCTTTCTAGGCTAGGATCAGCCTGCACCCGGCTCCCCTGATTCGCGTTTTGGGAGAAAAGCAAGCGGAGCCGCCCCAGGGACGGGTTGGTCTGTATTTCCCTCCGTAGGCTGGGGGCTTTGGGGTTCTCCTCTTGGGTTTTGGGATCCTCTGTGGCTTTGGGACCCTCCCAGGGACAATCCAGTCTGGTGGGCAGTGTGTGCAGCTGGAAAGAGGGCCAGCTCTGTCCCTGTCCCCTTGGCAGGTGGTGCCGAGGGGAGGGCTGCCTGTGCAAAGTGCTCAGTCCTTGTGGGGCGGGACTGGGAGCACTGGGACGCTGCCACGCAGGGCTGTTGGGATCGGGACGGAGTTGGGCTGGGTGCAGCAGAGGTAGGTACCTTCTTTCTCCCATCTCCTCCTCCCTGGGGCTGCCGAGGAGCAAGGGATGCTCTGTGCAGCTCTGGGCATGAGCAGAAGGGGAGATCTGTGGGGTGTTGTAGGGCAGGCTGGTGCTGTTTCGAGGGAGCTGGATCCCAGCTCAGAGCATCCACGGACCAAAAGCACACGGTGGAGTCTGGGAACCACTTGCCAGCAGTTCAGCTGTACTGTTTTGCTCGTGGCTGACCCCATGGGGAAAGTGGGGCTGGGGGCTGACAGCTGAAGCGTTGCCTTCCTGTCCCCCTCTGCAGGGCCAAAGCAGGAGCTCCCACAATGATGGGGAACACCGTGTTCCTGTCATTCACCTTCTACAGCACGATCCTGATTCTAAAGATGTATGTTGTTGCCATCATCACGGGACAAGTGAGGCTCAGGAAGAAGGTACGTCCCAGCTTCCTTTCCCTCCCTCGCCCCTCCTGCTTTTTGCTGGGGTTTCTGCTTGAGTTTACTACAAACCCTTTCTTCTTTTCATCCTGCAAAAGCCAACTGGGTTTTGCAGAAGCAAGCTGAGTTTTCTTTGACTTCAGTTGAAAGCAAAACAGGTTTTCTAGCTGTGGCAGACAGCCATCTCGCTTCTCTTTGGCTCTTTCTGTTTGCTTTCACCATCTGCAGCTTGATGTTTATCATATCTGAATCCTAATCTAAATAGTAATTTCAAATGTAAAATACCATGCAGGTGAGCTGCTGCTCTGTTTACATTCATTTGCAGTGTCTGAGAGAAAAGAGAGAGAAAAGTTTAAGGACAAATGATTGAAATGGCAGAAAAATTCTTGCAATGTGGCAGCAAGCTTCTGTGCTGCAGGAGAGCGAAGTCACAGGGAGCAGAAACAATAGCTGGAGGAAATGGCTCTTGGACGTGGGGACAGCAGCAGGGATTGAGGCACAGCTTAGCTCTGCAATAAAAACTGAAATATTTGAGGCGTTTCCGGATGCACCAGCAGAGAGGGAGATGGTTCTGCTCCCGGGCCAAAGGCAGAAGCGGGTTCTCCTGCGTCGCTGGAGCTGGGGATGTGTTTTTTCTTTTGTGTTTCTGAGTGATGCTGCAGCCCTGGCACTGCCTGTGTTGTAACACAGCTGCAAGGTGAAGCTGTCACCTGGAAGCAGATCCCTGCAGAGCAGTGTGTGTGTCCATCGTTTTCCTTTGGGAGAATGACATTGGATCCCATTCCTCCCAGGGAAAGCAGTAGTGCCAAAGAGCCAGCCAGGGAATTTTCTGCCTCAGCAGGGCAAAGCCATCCATCATTTGCTGTTATCTTTGGTGTCTGCAAGCTCTGTGCAGGAGGTTGGCAAAGTCTCCCGATGGATTTCATGGAGAGAAATGCCCACACTGAAGGCACCCAGGGGATACCTGATGTACTGGGATCTGCTCCATTCATCACATTTTTCCTGCTCCATTCATTTTTTTTTTTTTTTTAACCTCTCCTTTTGAAAACTGCATGAAAATAACCCCCCCAAAGCCCTCCCAAAGATATCAGGAGCTGCATCCCTGACAGTTCTGCATGGGGACACTCTCTTGCAGGCGTTTGCTAACCCAGAGGATGCGCTGCGCAATGGAGGGCTGCAGTACTACCGTGAGGACCCCGATGTGGAGCGCTGCCGCAGGCGAGTACAGAGCCAGCATCCCGCCCCAACAGGGCAGCAGGAAGCTGGAAGGCTCATTAATTAGCTAATTGCACAGCTAGGTGAAATGCCCTGAGGTCCGAGGCAGGACCCTGTGAACCAGGGCAGCTCAATCATTAATGGAAGCGTGCTGTGTGTGGAAGGATTGGGGTTTGGGGGTCAATGGGTGCAATGAGACTGAGTCCTCAGTGTTGAATTCGGGGTGACCCAGCTCTGTGCTTGCCTTTAGCTCCCTGGAGGAGGTGGCTGGGCACTGGCCCAGGCACTGTGTGGGCTGGTTCTGCACAGGAAGGGAGGCTGGAGCCATGCCGAGCCCTGCTGCCAGCTCTGCTTCACCAAACATCCCATAGCACCAAGCCACAGGCTGCCAGGGAGAGGAGGAGGAGATAGATGAGCTGTTCCTTTGCTAAGAAAAATAAAATAGTAGTGATAATAATAATCATCCTCTTTTGATTAGTCAGAAAGGACCGGCTTCCATAAAAATAAATAACCGGAGCTGCAGAAGTCTGGGGTTTGTGCAATGAGCACATGCCAGGTCAGACCTTGCTAATGTGTTTGCAGCCATGGAGAGGGCAAATTACCCTCAAGGTCTGTGCCTGAAGAGGAGGTATCAGGGGGCCGAGAGGTGTGGAGCCATGCACAGATGGAGAAGGGTCTCACAGCACAGCTCATCTTCCATTTTCCAAGTCTGGCCCCACTTGCATGCAGAGAGGCTCTGAGCCCTTTGGGGGCTGCACTCAGCCCATCAGCAGGCTGGAAGCCAGGTGGGAAGGAGCAACCCGCTTCTCTTCACAGGGCGCATCGCAACGACATGGAGAACATCTTCCCCTTCCTCTTCCTCGGAGCTGTGTACTCTCTGCTGGAGCCCAGTCCTGCAGTGGCCAGGATCCATTTCTTCATCTTCTGTGCAGGACGCATCATGCACACCGTGGCCTACCTGCTGAAGCTGAAGGCTCCCACACGATCCGTGGCATACAGTGTGGCACAGCTGCCCTGCTTCTCCATGGCCCTGCAGATCCTCCTGGCAGCTGCCCCATATTGGTAGCACCCAACCGAGCAGAGCACCCAACCCGCCCCATTCTGCTCACTTCAGCTGTGCCAGTACTGAGATGTTCCTGGTGGGGATGTGTGTGGGTGCTGCAGGGACGTGTGGGGTGGCCTTGGTAAGGTCCCTGAGCCTGCTGTTGAATTTGGGGCAGGGGGAGCAGGCAGGGGATGCTGAGCAGCTTTCCCTCGTTCCTGTCCTCGAGGAAGGGGTGTCATCGGAGGAGGAGACATTTTCTGCATCAGTGACCCAGCGTGGGATGGGGAATGCTGCCCTTGATCAGCAGCACCGAATCAGGAGGGAGAAGCCACCATGGTCCCACAGCTCTGCGAGAACTCTTGGTTGGTGGATGTGGGTGTTTGCAGAGAGGGAGAAAAGCTTTCGATCTGGTCCCAGCCTCAGCACGGGATGCAGCAAGGAGCAGAAATCACTGCCCTGCAGCAGAGCTGTGTGCCTGCAGCCATGTGCTGCTGCTGCCTGGAAATGCTCTTAGAGGCGCTTTCAGTGTGCACCCCAAGCTGTGCCCTGGGAGGAGGGCTCTGCTGTTCTTCTGTGCTGCGTGAGGATGGCCAACCCTGCTGTGCCACACAGCTGTCCTTAGGGCAGCCCCATGGAGGGCAGGGCAGGAGGAAGGCTCTGAGGACAATGCAGAGCTTTGCTAAGATTGCAGTGAGAAAGCAGAATGAGCAGAAAATAAAATCCCTTTCCACCTGTCTTAAGCACTAAAGCTCTTCCCTTTGCTGTGCTCTCCTTTGGGATCCTCTCACCAAGAGTATCAATGGGAAGAAGGGCAGCTTGGGCAGATGCTCAGAGCTTCACCCAGCTCACGGAGGGCTCCCAGCCCAGCAGTGGCCATGGCCTTGGGCTGAGTTCTTTGGGAGGTTTGGAGCACAGAAGTCTGCTCTCCTGGGTGCAGAAGGAGGGCTGCAGGTCCCACAGTTTGCTTTTGGCCACCTCTTGCTCACACAGCCCCAGCTCAGCAGATGTCTGCATAATACCCCTTTCAGCGAGCCCATGCTGCCTCACACGGTGCACAAGGTCTCCAAACCCCTGCACGTTTCTCTGCTGCTGCATATGCATCCTGGTGGCAGGAAGCAAGTATTCCCAATAAAAACAAATCATTGTGCTCTGCTACATCCTTCCTTCGAGAGCTGCCGATGCAGCTGGGCAGCAGCTGGGGCCGGGTCCAGCTGCAGGGAGTGCTGAGCCCGCAGGGCCAGGAGCGTCCTGCGGCTCCTGGAGAGCTGAGCACCCTTCCCCCAGCCCACCTGCAGCTCTTGGCATTATCAGGGCCAATCCTTTAAATACAGAGAAGCTGGGGCTTGTAGTGCAGTCATGCTTGGTTCTCCTGCCTCAAGCAGCTCAAAGTTTGGTATGCACCCAGATCTCCTCCAAGCAGGTTTTTGCTATAAGATGCTTTTTCCAAGCAAGCTCTCTCTGTGCCTTGCCTGCATTTCTTCCCAAAGGAGAAGCTTAAATCCTGGAGGGCTGGAGCTGTTCAGTTAAGGTGTGGTTGCTCTCCTTTCTGTGCTTACAGCTTCCAAAGGAGCTGCCTATGTTTCTCATGCTCAGCAGTCCCTTCCTTCTTTAGGAAGCCAACACCTCGCTTCCTTGGTTTCCTCCTATTTTCTTCAACTGTTGGTATCTGGGAGGTGCTGCCCTTCTGTTTCTGCATCTGAATTAACGGCTGAGATGGACAAAATGGTCCCACGTGACAGATTTTTCTTTCCCTCACTACTACTTGTTTTCCAGTAAGAAAGGCGGTGTCTTTATAAGATGGACTCCATCCAGTACATGCTGCTGTGTGCAGGGACGTAGCTGTAGGGACTGGGGCTTTGGGGTGGGAAGGAAACTCTAAGAGCCCCCCTCTAACCCCTATCCAATGCCTGGGGGTGATGCCCTGCTCAGGGTAGCTGAGGTTATGTGCAGAGCTCTGCTTGCTTCTTTCTTTATTAAAAAAAATAAACCCTGCTGTACTGGCTGCAGGGGGAAAAGCTTGGGAATGTGAACTCTAATGCCTCCAAAAAAACAAATAGAAAAGGCCCACGAGGCAAATTTCAAAGAGGCACAGCCACTGAGCTTATTTTGAAATGCTGGGAGCTGATGGGAGAGTGGATGGAGCCCAACTCGTCCCTGCACGGCCAGAACTGGGGCTGGGACTGCATCGCTGCAGTGCATCGACATGAGGAGCAGCCTTGTGCCCTGCTTTATTCCCAAGAGCACGTCAAGCTGCTGTCCCCCGAAGCAGGATGGTGTCCCCAGTGTCCCCTGCAGCTCTCGGAGGGAGGCGATGGTGGCTGCACCCACCAGTGCTTGAGCTGTGCCAACCATTTGTTTCTCCCACCTGGCTTATACCTGAAATGGCAATGCAGCAAAACCCACCTGGGCTCACACATCTGCCAAGTTTGGTGCTTAAAGATTTGGGTACGATTCACTCCACCAATGTGTGTCTTCCTCTCCAACGTCACCAAGCCCGAGGAATCAGGAGATGGGATGGGGGGAAGCAAGTGTGGACCCAGCGACACATCCCTGCACCTTCCGGACACCTCAGCCCGGGTCTCCCCTACCCTCAGGCTCTGCTCTTACCCCTCCCCACGGTGAGGTTTCGCCACGCAAATCCCCTTGAGGAAATGCTATTCTTGCGTCTCGCAGTCAGAGCGACAACAAGCCGCCCCACGGATGCAGGAATGCCGGCGTCCCCACCCCCGCGTGCCGCCTGGGGACACCGCTGAGCAGCGCGGAGCCGCAGCGCCCCCGTGTGGCCGTGGGACGCACAGCCGGGCGGCAGCGCTGTGCCGGGGGGACGGCGGGGGTTTGGGGTCTGGGCGGCTCCGATGTGGGGACGGGGAAGCCCTGGAGTGGCTTTTTTGGGGGGGGTTTGGAAAGAGGTTGTGGGGAACCTGGCTGGAATACCTGGCTTTTTTTTTTTTTTTTTTTTTTATCAGTAGGGAAAACACAGGCAGAAAAGGGCTGCGGGGTTGGGGACAAAGGGACAGAGGTCCTTCTGTCAGCTGACGGCTCATCTGGGAGTCAGCTGGCTGCAAAGCAGCTGCTGCAGGGGTGTAAATGCAATCTGCAACCAACGTTCTTGCAGCCTTCCAACCAAAGCAATGGTGTGTGGACGGGGTCCAGAAAGCAGACGGAAGAGAAGTCAGTCTGTGCTGGATGATGGAGAGGTGGCAAATCCATCCCTGTGATCTACTGAGTCGGAAGGGACACTTAAAGGCCCTCTGGTTCAACTCCCTGCAGTGAACAGGGACACCCACAGCTCCATCAGGTGCTCAGAGCCCTGTTCAGCTCCAACCCTGGGTGTCTCATTGCAGGGAGATGGGCTGTGGCTCTCCCTGCTCCTGTTTCCCAGGAGCCCTCAGACCACGGGTTGGGATCTCCTGCTCTAACAGGAGCTGAAGTGAAGCTGGGATGGCAGAGGCAAGAAGTTTCCAGCAGCAAATAGTCACGAGTCGATGGAGAATCTGCCCTGGGAGCTGTAAGATCTTCACATCAAAGGGTCTTCTGCAGTCGGATCTGGGCCATGTTTTGCTGCCACAGACCTACCCACCATTAACTTCTTGACCCTCTCCAACTCCATTTCGTACCTTTGATCTCTGCAACATCTTGAGGTGATGGATTTCAGGCCATAGTTGTGCTGTGGCTTTCTATGACAGCTGTGAGGGCACTTTCTGCCTTGTTTTCTAACCCTTTCCTGGGCACTCCTAACACTCGTTTCTCATTTTGCTCTCTGATGCTCCTGTGCAATAGCAGCCAGGTGCACTGGGCAGTTTCCATGTGCACCTCTTGCATTTTTCCTGCCACTTCATAGCTCAGATCCTGCAGCTCATTCCTATGTGGCTCATTCCCATGTTCTTGCCTTTCTGGTCCGTGTTAGCTAGCAGGCTGCAGAACCTGACTCACTGTGCTGCTGCCCACCTCGGTGCACAGGATGGAGCCTGGAAGAGCTGCACTTGGTGCTGATGTGAGCTCCTGGCACTGGCGATGCTCAGCCCTCACTGAGTCCATGCACTGAGAGCAGTGTGCCATGAGACATCACCTCCTCTGAGCACGTCTACATCTCCTTTCTGTATTTCTTGTCTGGTTCTCAAGGCTGGGACACATGCTGGTCTCTGCTGTGACTGCAGATGATTGCACATCCCAGCAGGACTTCTGCAACAGATGCTTGCCCATGATGTCTGTTGAGCACTACTGAGTGCTCAAAGGCTTTCACCCATATTTGTGCTGCAGGATGGGACCTGACAACTTAGCAGGGAGGAGCTCTGCCCCTGGCCCCCTCCCTCCTCAGCCCACTGCCACACTGCTGGGGGAGTTGTTGCTCTGACAGCATGGATGCCCAGTGCTGCTTAGGGGATCTCCTGGCTGTGGGGTGTCAGTGCTTCCAGCCCCTGTGCCCAGCAGTAGGACTGGGATGTGGGACTGAGTTTCCCTGCCCCCAGTGGGACCCCAATATTACCCCCCTCCCCAATGGTGTGAGCACTGCTCTGCACGCACAGACACATCTCTACTCAGTAAAATATTTATTCCTCCATTATTTCACAAGAGTTGTTTTTACAAAAAAAAAAAAAAAAAAAAACACCAAAAAAACAAAACAAAACAAAAAAAACTTTACAAAAATTTCCAAAAAATACAGACATGCAAAAAAAAAAAAATCAAAATCAAAAATCGACCGTGGATCTTGTTACAAGCCATTGAAATGTACAAATAGAAAAGGGAGAGAGAGCTCAGATGACATGACCACGATCCCTGATATCCCTCTTGGTGAGGCTGTGATGCTGAGTGATGCTCCGCCTTAAGCTGCCAAGAGCGTGGCGAGGGAGGGGCCCGAAGATTAGGAACGCATGTTTTCAAATATATATATACATATAGATATTTAGTGAAGAAATATTTATTCCCTGCTTTTTTTAGGTTTACAGAAACGGCATCTGCAAACTATTAAATGGGTTTATTTTCATTAATGCTCTCAAAGAGGCAGCGACATTTATATCCCTGTGGTTTCATCTTGTATAACCGAAAAAAAAAAAAAAAGGAAGAGCCCTGTGCTTTCCATGGGAATGGGACCCCCTGGCCCAGTGCCGTTCCTTGGGGTGGGGGATTTGCTCTGCAGGGGCTCCTCTGCCCACATGGCAGCGCTCAGCATTGCGGGATCCCCATGAAGTCTCACTGCAGCACTCTGAGGAGCTCTGCCCTCCCCACCTGGCACATGCAGGGGGCACCATGGCCACCGAGGACCAGATGTGGCTTTCCTTGGTAGGAAAGGGAGAGGAAGCTCCTGTGGGCAGGATGTGGGGGCTCTTGGGTGTGTATATAAAGTGGTTTGGGTGCTTTTGGCCTGGCATCGCGTAATGATGGGTGTTGATCTCGATGGCTGTTATGGCCATCCTTGGGTCCAATGCTACATTCACTTGTTATTGGCCCCACCATGCTGGCTGGACAAAGCCCTCCTAGAAGAGGTTTGGTTGACTGCTTGGCTGCTGCTCCTCGCAGAGGGTGAGGGAGGAGGGCTCCATTGGGTTTGTCCATGGAGTCAACCCCCTATTGCCCCAGCACCAGCTCATCCCACATTGCTGCAGTGCCACCGTTGGAAGTTTTCTGCCCACCCTGCAACCGAGAGCTCCCTCACCGGGCTGTGTGGTGTGGTGGGGAATACGGTTTCCTTTATTCAGAAACACAGAAAACACCCCATGGAGCCTCCAGCCCCGCACTCTGTGGCCCATCTGCAGAGCGGCCGCTGGGGATGCTGTGCCTCCGGAAGACGACGCCTGCTCTGCCCTTGGCACAAAGCACTGGGAGCCGCCTACTCAGCTGAAATCAACAGCTTTTTCCAATTTTCTCTTTCCCTGGGCTGGTTCAATGACCTGGGGCTCTGCAGAACTGCTGGCAAACCCGCAAATGTGGGGTGGTGGTGCCTGGATGGGGCGCGGCGATGTGTTCCCCCCCAGTTTACGGCACCAGGACCCAGCTGTTGGCTTGCATTGGTCCCACTGAGCCCCATGGCTGGCAGTGCATGAGGAGGTGAAGGCCCAGCATAAAGGGGGGGGGATCAAAAAATTGGCATCGTTCAGCATCGCGATCGTCCCAGCGCTGCGTGCCGTCCCTATGGGAGGAGAAGACCCAATAACTCTTTGGCTCTCCAGGCAAGATACCCAAATTGGTCATATCCAAAAGTCCAAGATCCTTCCATGTTTGGAAGCAAATTCTTGTTCGCTTGGTAAGTCTGTTTGTCCTCGAAGAGCGCGTGGGGGGTATGTGTGTGTATATATAGCCTTTATTATAAGGGTGTGCAGAAAAGCAAGTTTCTAACCAAGTTTGCTCCATATGTGGCTATAGCGATGTGCCACTTCAGACTGGGACTTGACGCTACCTTCAAGAGGGAAGAGGAGAGGAGAGGTGCTGGGACATCAGACGAGCAGTGCGTGGGGCGGGCAGCGGGTTGGTGCCGATCGGTACAGGATCCCCACGTCGAGTCCTGGATGAGGCCATGGGGATTTTCCCCGGTCAGTTCACAGTCGGCACCTGGTTCTGATGCAGGCTGAACTCTTTGGCTTTGAGGCGCAGGCTGGCGATGCTGTTGGCCATGTTCACCCCTTGGGTGGGCGTCGCGGTCCCGCTGGAGCTGTAGGACGGCACAGTGCTGCGGGGGGAGCGGAGAGGGGTGAGGCAGAGCCCGTGGGGAGCCCACACATCCCGCTGGCTTCCCAGGCTGCGTTGGCGGCTCCCTCTTGGACATCTCCCACAATAGCTCTGAAGCATTTTTATGTGGCTGTATGTATGTGGGAACCCCTCAAAGTATGTGCCAGAAAGCCGTGCCCTCCGCTTTTGGAGAGCTGGGAACTGAAGGGTCCCGCTCCCGCTCCTGGGTTAGGATGTGGGAAGGGTCAGTGCAGGCCAAGAGGGTCCCTCATGAGGACCAAGCCTCCTCCCATCCAGAAAATGCTTGGTGGGGGCTGG